TTTTTCATTTTTCATTTTTCATTTTTCATGACTCGCATGACTCGCACCCTGGCTCGCATGGCTCACATATTAGTACAACTCGGGACCTTGGGGAGCTGAAGATGCTGAAAAGATGGCCCGCTGACCGAGTAAACCTGAGAATCGGGAGGACCGTGGAAGACTGGGAAGTGACGTCACGCGTGTGTTAGCGACACTCCGTTCCTTGACAACAAATCTTCAGTGAAATAGATGTAATATCACTTGCTAAAATCTCGTCTTATCGAAATGGGATAGTGTACATAGCAATGTGGTCTCTATGGCTTCCATTTTGACTTCAATTGATGGTCATATCTGTGTGAATTAACAGCGAGGTAACGCGGGATAGAAACGACGCCAGTGCTGATTTTCGTTGATCGAGTTTGGTTGCACTGACTGCAGAACGATTTACAATAATGAGTCACGCAGATCAAGGGTAAGTGTTTTCTTTTTTCTTTTTTTTAAAATAAAACATTTGGCGGGTTGGGGAAATCATGTAAATGCAAGAAGAAGTGTACGTTTACACTCAAACTTGGTAAGCTTCAATTAAGCTTTTTGATCTTCATTGATCAGTAGAAAACCGCATGGCTCCCTCGCACCTTCGGCAGAATTTTTACTGCGAGCAATAAACATTGGTATAAATTGGCATCTTGGATCTCATCGATCAATGGAAAAAGTTTTTTATTCTTTGAGTAACTTATACGGCGGCCGGCTTTCGTATAAGCTTGTGAAAGGTGTTAAGAATAGCCTTAGGGCATATGTGGAAACTTATATGATAATATGCAGTTTCGTTATCATTTAAATTAGGATCATACTTGCCTCATTAGTCTAAGTGAAACTTACATCTTGTTGTTGTTGCATAGGTTTGATTTTGGTTAATTTCCTCTTCTGTGTGTGAGTAGTTCAAGAGGGGTTAATGAGTTACATATCTTCGATTGTTTAGTTTCTGTTTCATCAATTTGGACGGAGTGGAGTACCATTAAGGGAGTAATCGCGCGAATAATTTCAAAATCAAATATATATTATTATAAATAGCTAACTTGTATTTCATGCATGGTATAACACAGAAAGGATATTGTATTATTGATAAAATTACTTTGAATGTATAAATTATTGTTGTAAAAATTACTACAACAAAATTCTTTCATCTTATTGGCTATTAACAGGCCCTAAGCTATTCCAGCATTTATAAACAGTTGATGTACCACACCTTTGTTATTCCTGGTAAAACTCTTTCAAGGATCCATCTTCTCGGATCTTTGAGGATATCTTCATGGATCTTATCCAGAATATCAATCAAGATCCTTAATTAATTAAAGAACCTTGCCAAGATCGTTAAGGATCTTTAGTTAGGGATCTTCATAATTCTTGCAAGAGCACTGGCAGAGCACTGCACCAGTATTGCAGAGGTCATGGGTTTGAATACCGTTCAGGCCTGAATTTTTTCGGGCTTTGATTTCACAACTGCTTTAAAGTTGTGTGCATAGCTGCAATGATCAATCATATCTTCATATCATTCTCAACAGTCTATATATAGCAACTTTCATATATTCACTTGTATTCTTCATGGTCTGTGGGTGTATTATAAACTCACAAAGTAGGCAGCTCCCAGTTGGCTTGATAGCTTAGTAGGTAGAGCACTGCACCAGTATCACAGAGGTCATGGCTTCAAATCCCGTTCAGGCCTGAATTTTTGGGGGGGTTTTAATTTCATAACTACTTAAGTTGTGTGCATAACTGTGATCATTAATCATATCTTCATGTCATTCTCCGCAGTTCAAATATATGAACTTTCACACAGTGTATATTCACTTGTAAAAAATATTAGGTCACCATGCTCATTCAAGAGAAAATGAGCATTTTTATCTGTGCTGTATGTGTATATCTCTTATTGTGCATGCTCTAATGACATGAAAATTGTGTGCAGTAGGGATGCGCAATGCAATTTTGAAGAATCACTGTAAGAGGTTTCTGGAGAGCCTTTTTAAATGCTTTTGCCCAGACCCTGCTTATTTTGGGTTGAAGATACTAATACAATAATTGATTGACTGTGTTATTGAAACTCTAAGCAAAACGGATGTAAATTTTAGAGAAGGTAACCTTTAAAGATATCATGCAGAGAGCTTTTGCACAACAACATGGATCTACAAATGTACAGTACATGCATGCTGTGAATCTTGAGTCCAAAGTCGTTCTCTATCTTTTCTGGGTTCCAAACCAGGATGTTGACATGTCCACTTTTTCCTTATTTATCACTTTCATTTACTACAGCTGTATGATTGTGTGTAGTAGAATTCTGGCAACTTGAAGAACAGTGTAGTTCAGATAACATGTACAGTAACTGAATTTAAGATAACCCAATTGTTTTGTTGGTACTTAGTGCATTTTGATGACCTGCTCTCTTGACTTCTAGTCCTTTAGCTGCCTACAACAGCTTGCAGGATAAACATCTTGCTGGATATTTTTCCAACTCTCGAATGAAGAAGCATTTGAGAAAGTCAGGATTGGTAAGATTTATTATATAGCATATGGCAAAAAGTAGGGACTGGTATAATGGGTAAAACTGTTTAGCATCCTTTGGCTTAGCAAGCCTTTTGTGAAGTTGAAAATAAAATAGGTACTAGCAAACAAACATGTATGTTGCTATGAATAGCATTT